GATCTAAATGACTCTATTTATATATAACACTTTCTAAAATTTTGAGGATACATTTTTTTCCTTTCCTAGTTTCAGCATTGATGGCTTCTTTCCTCTTTTAGTACTTTTGTTCATCTGTTCTGTTTTGGGGATGGAAGCTTTGAAATCTACCCATATAGCCACCCCACCCCTCTGGTTTATCTTCTGCTTCACTAATACCATTTTCTACTTTATTTTTTATTGTTTTCTACTTTATCAACTGCCTTCATTCAAGTTCATAATTCAGATTTTTCTTTCTTTTTTTTTTGTTAATGCAGTCTCATTTTGACCTCATATTTTTTTAAGTTTTCACTTTTATAATGTACACATATTTCTTAAGTAAATATTTGCTCTGATTCTAGAGTCTTCCCTTCTCTTGAACCATAATATTTTTCACTTCCCTGGTGGATTTGGCTTTTTCTCTGTTGCTTATCCTTAGAGAGGGAAGACTATGCATATTCAGCATCAGGTATTGCCCTGTGTTCTTTCAACAGACTGAAATGAGTCACTGTTTGACTCCAGTCCAGATGAAGGAAAAAGGTCAGACTTGTAGTAGATTAATTTGCCAATTAGAAATTCATCTTCCTATGAGGCCTCGGGAAGGAACCAGCCTCAGCTCCAGAGGAATCAGAGGGAAGTTTGCCTCAGAACCAGAGACTTTCTTTTAGGTGTTTGGTGTGGTGTTCAGTAATTAGCAAGTTCATTGTCACTTGGCTTGGCTGCCCATATCAGAAGCCAGCTGATGTATTTTTTTCCTTCATGTATTTTCTGACGCAATCACGATGGCCACATGTAAATTAGAAGTAAATACAGTCAATCATTACTTGCTTAGTTGGAGCCAGGAACCCCTTTTAAGGAATGAACATATTTTAAATGTACCCTGTCTCTCCCTGGCTTGATTCCCTCCATCTCTCCTGCCTCTGAACTAGTGGTGTCACTACGAGTCTGTTGGGATCTCGTTTGCTTATTTTCTGTCCATTTAGTTGCATTTTCACAGGAAGGGGATATTGTGCCTAAGTCCTTCTGTCAACCTCTTGTGTTGATTCTTTCCAGTATATATTCCTGGAAGTTTAAGCAATATCTGGGATCCATCTGTGGCTTCTAGGGCTTGTTCAGGATATTTCCTAGTCTTATATTCAACTGGTTATTTCTCTAGTAATCTGGCACAGAGGAATGAGTCTATGCAGCTTTCTTATTTGTAAATTGTATTTTGTATATCCCTTTTTAATTGTAGAGAGGGATATCGAGGTAATTCTTACCCAACGACTTTGGGGAATGGATGAATGGGCCAGTAAGTAAATAAGTGACACAGCTCATCTTTTGCAAGTGAGGGGTGTTAGAGGTAGTTTTGTATTTTTGAGAAGAATGATATAGGTTAGAAGAAAGGCCTAGAATGGAAAAAGGAGACAACTAGGGAAGAAGAGGAGGGGTGACAGTAATGGTTCAAGGGCATCTGGGGTTGGTGGGGCCCACCCACATTGCTTTGTGGTTTTCTGCAGCTGGAAAAGTCTTTGGAGCTCAAGCAAAGGAAATGGAGAATTGGGTTGATGGCACATGGGAAGAACTCAAGACAGGTATCCACATACTGGGAAGAGTTCAAAGAGGGGTGTATTTCTTTAATAATTCTGTGCGACTCTGTAGTTGACAGTCTGGAGCTCTGGGAAATGGAGGACTAGTATGTCAAAGTAAGCCAGCTTACGTGGCTACAGATTGAATTGTATTATTGTTTGGGATATTCTCTTTTTTGTCATCTTGTCTAATTCCCCCAGAATAGTTGGTAAGTAAATAGGTTTCAAAAATGTAATGTTAAGGCATCACTCCCATGAGAGAGTGATTTCTACCCTTTGAGGTAGTATTGTTTAGCCTTGTATTTTCAGAGTTAAGTAACCGTACACCATTTTATTTCATTTTATTTATCTATTTATTTTTCACTAGAGGGAAAACTCTATTCAGTACAGATAGACTTTTCAGGATTTATTTTTTATATATTTTTTAAAATTTATTTATTTATTTTTGGATGTACATCATATTTCGAATGCTGTGTAGATTACATCATGTTCACCACCCAAAAACTAATTATGGTCCTTCCCCTCTATACCATTTTATAAAGGGCTCTTATAAGGTAAGAACAGGTTCAACGAAAGCCTCCAAACTAGATATGTCATAAATACTTTAGGGAAAGGCATTTAATTGTCTCTCATTTTCTTCTTGAAAATATGAACCTACCCTTTGTGTTATCTACTGTGTATCTCAAGGATATGAAACATAAAACAAAACTAGGGACACATCATTGAAGTTTTATAGAGATGAGAGCAGCACAGTGTTCTCTGTGTCAGGGTTTGGGGAAAAATAGGTACTCTACAGGACATCTGACTGTCATCCTGCTTACTTCAGGACCATCTGAAATTTTTGCTTAAAAAAACTCCACGCACTTTTTGTCTCTTCTTAATTTTTGTTTACTGGGAGGGTTAGTCTATGGAAAGGCATGGGCCCTGGAGTGGGTCCCGGTTCAGGTCTCAGCTCCCTCATTTCCTGGCTGTGTGACTTTGGGTATGTAGAACAACCTTTCAAAGCCTCAGGTTTCTCCTCTATGAAATGAATTAATACCTGCCTCAAACTGTCTATGAAATGACTGCTTCAGTGCTCAGAATCTAGTAGGTTTTCAGTAAATCCCACTGTCCCCCTTTTGTTGTCAGCAGTGATGCCATATGGCTCATTTGTCATATCAATTTTTATATCCCTTCCCTTACTCCAGGCTAGGTGCTCAGTATTCACCTTTCAAGCAACTCTGTGTACTCTGAATATTGAAACTATTTTAAGGTTGTATTACTTAATGACTTAGCTTGGCAGAAATGATATTGAACTGGAGCACACAGTGTGAGTCTTTAGGGATGGAGTCTCATTGCCTGCTTATTTTGTTTTTTTTGGTGGCTATGCTATTTGTATATTTATCTGTCCACCCCATAGATGATAGAGCAAGATAATGTGAATTGTAAATACATGAGAAGGAAAAATAGAAATGTAGAGGTGGGCACAAAATGATGCTAGGAATAAGTTCAATACAAAATATCGCACCATGGGTCCTGTAATGTTCTCAGGGTAGACATGGCACTCTAGCAGCCTTCAGGAAAGAGGAAAGGCATTGCCCTATACATATCTTTCTCCTGGGCTGTTCATTTGATCCACAGTGTGATAAATAAGGGGTCATTTTTTTTTCCTGCTAAAGCTGGGATCAAGGAGAACATCACTGTTGTCTCAGGGAAGCTATGGAATTTTGTGTTGAATATTATACCAAAATAGCTTTACTTATTATGTATTAATAAAAATAGTCACTCTAACAGAGGTAAGAAAATAGGAAGGTGACACGGTTCTAAACAATTAAAACCTAAAGTGATTAAAACTCTAGTATGAAGGACAATATACAAAGACGGGAAAAAAAAAATTTAAAGTTCATAAAAGTTGCTGCCAAACCTAGATTATTTCTTAGGAAATAGTTCTTCCAAGGTTATGTAACTTGCCCAGTGTCATCCAGCTAATATAGAGTAGTGCCAGAGGATTTGGGGCAAAAGACTTGGAGTAAATGTCTAACCCACCATTAACTCCTGCTTAAGACTTGGATCTCACGATCCTGGTTCATTATCTTCGTTATTATGAAAAGATCATTTTCCAATAGTTAAAAAGTGTTCTGGTATCATCTTGCATGCAGGGTAAACTAGAAAGTATATTTACAGACAAAAAGCTCCCTGAAGGCAGGGGCTGGCTCAGCATTATTCCTGAAAGCCTTAGTTCCCTGTGGGTGCTCAATAAGGATCTTTTGAATAGAAGGATATTGTTAGGTGGTGTGAAAAGCTAAAAATGAAACATTTTCTTAAAATGAAAAATTCCCCTTCTGGACTAAATTGGAACATGGAAACAATCACATCAGTCTTTTTATTTTATTTTTTTGGTGAGGAAGATTCACCCTGAGCTGACATCTGTGCCAGTCTTCCTCTACTTTGTATGTGGGTCACTGCCACAGCATGGCTGATGAGTGGTGTAGATCCACACCTGGGATCCAAACTGCAAACCTGGGCTGCTGAAGTGGAACACATGGAACTTAACCACTAGGCCACAGGGCTGGCCCCCACATCAGTCTTTTGACAGAACTTGGGCCATGCTTTACGGCAGGGAATTTAATGTCTTTGTGAATTTTCTTAACAAACTTATCAATAATGGAGGATTTGGTTATACTTTGTGTTTATCTAGCATCCTTTCTTTAAGATGTCGAAAGGATTTTAGAAATGCCTTCTTCCTCACGAAACGTGGAAGTCTGACTTACGAAGCCCCTACGGAGTACCCGACTCATTCTTGTGACCGACTCCTGTAACTTTGGGGTGTCTTGCCTTTCTTAACTCTTGAAAGTGGTGACTAAGTTCCCTGAGGAAATGTAAGCACTGGGAAGGTTCACTTTCTTACGTTTCCTGCTGGACCAGAAATTGCTGGTGGTTCTAGTCCTGATTCTGGCATTAACGAAATGTGTGATTCTAGTCTCTTCTCTCCTCCAAGTCTGTTCTTTCATCTGCAAACGGCCAGGCTTGAACTGGGGGATCTCGAAGACACTTGAGAATATTATTTGCCCTTTGTGTAGAAACTGTCAGCTCTCAATTGTGGGTCATTTAATTCCTTTTTTGTTTAATGATGGGATGACGTCTCCCCCTGGCCCACGCTCCCCATCTTCACAACTTGAAACTACCTCCCCAAACCATCTAGCCAGCATGCAGAGTCGAAATTAAACTACGAAAATACGTCACCTTAACATGATTTGGAAAATGGTACAGAAGTCCTGCCTCTGGGGTGTTAGATGCTCCCTACTGGGTTCTTCTTTTCATTGAGATTGTAGCTGGCATTTGGGGCAGAGGTTTTTGCTTCCTCTGGCCAGTGGTACTTCTCTCTCAGATGCTGGTCCTCTCAGGCTAAATGTGGGTTTTCCACTCCTTTTCCAGGTACACAGTTTCTCCTAGCATGACCGCGATCTGATCAGGAACCGAGAGAATTTGACTCCTGTGTCTGGTGCTGCAGTGCTGGGGCCTGGTCACCGCCCGCAACTACGGAGCTGCCATGGCTGCTGCCTTTACTTCCACCCCTGTAATTTCACAGCCCCAGGTAAGTGATTCAACCCGGCATAGGTTTGGGCTAATCATAGTTTTGTCGAATATTTAAATATTTGTCAAATATTCAGAAAATGTGTTTGATTCAAGGGATCGTGTGTATTCTTCTAACGATCATTTGAGGGGTATTTGGATAATAGTGCTTTTGTGAGGGAGGTGCTGTTTAGTTCAAGAAGCAACTGGAACAATGAACAAGTGGTTTTAGTGAACCGGCCTCTGTTTGTAGGGGGCCCTGGTTTTCAATGCTTAGGCTGTCTGGCTGTACTAAAGGCATTAAACGCCGCATCAAGACTGTCGGTAGTAAATCCTGCTGCTTTCCCTCTCTTGGCTTTTCTAGGGTTTAACGAAAGATCTCAGCACAGATCTAATCTTATAACAAGTTTTCTGAATGCTGTCTCGTTGTCTTCCTCCTATAATGATGATGATTATTTTTCCTTGACCTGTTCTAGGAACTTTGAAGAGAAAATGCAATTCCAAAAACTTCTGAACACCAGTAATGAGTTATTTTTCTGTCGAAGGGAGAACAGTAATATGGGAGGGACATTGCCTTTGTTCAGATTATTTTACAATCTAATCTATTCAAGTATTAACTAGACTCCTGGAGTCCCAGCGGGCAGTGTGGTACAGTAGGGAAACAGACTTTGGAGTCATGAGGCCTGAATTCGCATCCAGATTGCTGGATAAGGAGCCTGAGTCATGCTAACCTTGCTTAGCTTCACTTTTTCTCAGGTAGTCATACCTCACAGGACGGTTATGTGGATTAAATGCCAGAATAAATGCAAAGCACATAGAAGGTCCTCAGCAAGTGTAGTTTCCCATTTGTTCTTTCTTCATCTTTTCTTCCTCCTTTTAGAGTGTGACCTCCCATCTCATTCAGGACAATCATTTTTAGGACAACGTTAAAGAAAAAAGTATACCTTTGAGAAAGAGCCATATTGATTGAAATTTGAATCTTGATGATACAGAATATGGTTCCATACTTTTTTTCTGTATCCTTTTGCAAGCTGCTAAATTTTGTAGGTGTCTGAAGTATGGATATGTGTGTGTGTGTGTGTGTGTGTGTGTGTGTGTGTGTGAGAGAGAGAGAGAGAGAGAGAGAGAGAGAGAGAGAGGGAGGGAGGGAAGGAAAGGAAGAGGGAGAGAGAGAGAGGAGAAAGGGGCCAAGGGAAATTTTTACTTCATTTACTATAAATCCTTTTTTTGTCCTCTAAAAGACCTTGGAATTTTATCATATGGACAAAGTCCTTGCTGTTCCTTAACGTTTTAAAGCTTTTAGTATTATTTTCCGAGATGTTGAGTGTTCCCACCTTCATGCATATTTCTTTCTGGTAAGGGGATCATTGCCTTTTCAACACTTCATTTACTCTGGGTGTTGGGTTTCCATTCCTCTCAATAGTGTTTTTGGTGCCCAAGAGACTTGGTGAATGGGTAAAAAGATTTAATGCCCGTTACCTGAAGTCACCGTTTCAAAGTCCACTGCAGCTGTTCCCATGCAATGACTATTCTTTTGTGAAGTGAATTGGGTCTAGCACAGGTTTTCTGGACAAGGCATTTCAGCATCCCAGTCTTGTGCTGTCATTTGTCAGCATTTCCAACAGCATCATTTTATCTAAACACCTTCCATTTTACACAAGCTGCTGTCAGCTGGTGAGTAATAGAAATATTTTCAAATGATTCATTTAATTAAAATGTTTAACACTGCCCAAGGTAGAAAGAGGTCATATTTAATCTAAACACTTGGGGAATTGTGTACTCTTGTAAATTCTCTGTGGGAAAGTAAATTGGTACGGTCTACTGTGGACAGTAATTTGACAGTATCTATTAAAATTATATACCTTTGCACATACCCTGTTCCCATCTTGATATCCACATTAGAAAAACACTCATATATGAACCCTAGGAGACATGTAGAATGATTGAAGCATTGGTTGAAGGCCAAGAAGTACGAAACTTTCTAATATTCAATAGTGGAAGGACTTCATAAAGTCCAGAATGTTGATATGATTTAAATACCACACAGCAGTTAAAAAATTATACATACCTATCTATCTATCCCAACATGGCTCTATCTCCCGAAGATATGGAGAGACAAGAAAGCAAGATGCAGAATAATGCTTACAGGAAGATATCGTTAAAACTGTAAAACAAGACCATATGTTTTTAGGGGCCAACATATGGTCCATTAATGTAAATGCATAGTGAAAGGTCTAGAACATACATTGTCAACGGGGATGATGTTGACCCCAAGAGGGCAAAAGCTGGATCTTCGGAGATGAAAAAATCCCTCCAGAACTCTAACCCTGTCTGATGAAATCCTATTCCTTAGTATTTAATTTCTCTCATTAGGGAGAATTTAAGTTTAATTAAATTTTTCTTCTTGAGAGGCACCAATGGAAAAAAAAAAGTCAAGAAATACTCGTCTCGAAGGATGCACAAGGCTCTCCAGTCACTACCTTGGTTCAAATCCTGGCTTCAGTATTTACTAACTGAGGCTTGGGGGGAGGGTGGAGAAAGGTGTTCACTCTCTCAGTGCCTCCATTTCCTCATCTGCAACCTGAGCATCATCATAATAAAGCAAACTTCGTAGGATTGTTTTAAGGATGAAATGAGATAATATGTAAAACTTAGAACAGTGTCTGGCGCATATTGCTCGATACATCTTAGTTGGTATCATTGTTCAGTAAGCACTGTGGCAGGTGTGGGTATACAAGAATAAGTAAGATAAGCAAGGCTTTTGCCCTGCCAGAGTTTAGAAACGTAGTGGGAACTATGCAGATAAGGAAATAAAAAATCACAATGCTTTGTCACAAATGCTATGATATAGGAAGTATAGATTCTTTAGGAGTAGAGTAGAGCACCCGGGAAGAAGTTGGAGGATCAGAGAAGGCTTCTTGAAGGAAGACTACCAGGCTGGGGGCTTATGAATGAGCATGAGCTATTCTGGCAAGGGAGAGGAAATAGCATGTGTGAATGTCAGATGTCCCAAGAGGAGAGAGAACATAACATTTGGATGTCAGTTCGTGATGTTTGTAGTATTGTTGTAAGCAGCAATATGCTAGAGCCAGCTCTGCCAGCCCACACGTTTGATTGTTAAATTTTCAGGAATTTAGTGAGCTGATTGACCTTATGCTTGTGACTTGAAATCAGCCACGGTGGAGTATGTACACCATGGAAATTGGCCAACACAGTCCCTCACTCCTAAGAGCCCATTGTTAAATATTTATCGGCGTACTTCTGGCTGTGGAGGGGGTGGATGGATTAGGTTACAAGGTTGGAGAAGATTTTGCAGGGCCTTCTAAGCCTCATGAAAGAATTTCGCATTAATCTTAAGAAGCCTGTGTGCTTTTGAATCTTAGACCTGGTTCAAACCCCGACTTTGGACAATTTTGTTGAACAAGTTCATTAATTAATCTCAACCAGGTTAGTGAGTCCCATTATTTTTTTTTTCCCAGATGTTGGGAACAGCAGTAGCTTCTGCTAGCTGGAGGCACTCAGCCTACTTGGAAGGAGTCAGCTCTAAGCTGGTCACAGGGAGAGGCAGCCTACTCTTCCGGAGAGGAGCAGACCATTGGGTCGCTTGGTTCCCAGGATCCTCTGGTTGATGATGGGCCTGCTGAATATGTCAGCTCCTCACATGTAATTTTTGCATTCGGATTTTAGTCCAAGGCTGATTTACCCTTGCCCCCAAGGCTGTATTGATGTATTCTCTCCTATTATCAAGTTTACCCCAGGTTCAGAGACGTGAAAAGTAATTTATTTATTTATTTATTTTTTTTAAAGATTTTATTTTTTTCCTTTTTCTCCCCAAAGCCCCCCCGGTACATAGTTGTGTATTCTTCGTTGTGGGTTCTTCTAGTTGTGGCATGTGGGACGCTGCCTCAGCGTGGTCTGATGAGCAGTGCCATGTCCGTGCCCAGGATTCGAACTAACGAAACACCGGGCCGCCTACAGCGGAGCGCGCGAACTTAACCACTCGGCCACGGGGCCAGCCCCGTGAAAAGTAATTTAAATGCAGCATCTCCTTGGGCGAGGCGTAATAAGCAACTCACTCAATCAGCTTAGGCTGGCATTGTCTGGCACATCAGCTTTCATTCTTTTAGAGTGAATTCAGGGATCTGTGTAAAGATAAACCCACATTCAAGTGTGAAAGGCCTGACAATCCTTTTCTAAGGCAAAAACAACAACTAAACAAAAAAAACCAACTTTTGGGTTTGTTACTCTATTCATTTGGTAACAAAGAGCATTTTTCTAATCAAGGCTGCCGAAAATACTAGATATAAACTAATTAATAAGAACAAATAGCCTGTGATTGTTTCAAACAATACCAGGGAAGAAAGCTTTCATTGTCACTCCTGCTGGGATTGCTGTTTCGTGAAAGATATGCCTTGTGCTTTGAAGTGAGACAAGTTCGCATTCCTGCTGTACTCCTGAGATGGATTTTTGTTTTCTTATGCTGAGGGAGCACCTTGTTCTTACGAGGCTAGCTGAATCCTGAGGCGAAACTGGACTAGCAGCAGCAGGAAGGCTCTGTGTGTGTGTAGCTGATTTATAGTTCTGCTAGTCCAGACACCGATAAAGAGCTTCCTTACCCAAAGGAAGCTCCAGGGATGTGTTTGCAGACAGGAACGCGCTCATCATTAGGTTAAATTAATGTGTTCCTAGCCTGTGGATATGGGAGGGATGGAGGTGGAATAGGAAACCAGAAAACTTGCCACTCTTAATGACCGTTTTCTGTTTCTAGAACTCTGTTTAGCATTACTTTAATTGTGGTTCATCCAGTTACTGTGGGTAGAGTATGGATTAAAAGTTTTATTTTCCTTTTGAATGGAAGGGTCAATAGTTCAGTATATGAATGAGTGGTTTGGCTCTCTCAAACCCAAGACGGGTATGAGACACCAGAATAGGTGTTTGAGGATTTTAAAGGTATTCAGATCTTACACCTGAGATTCAGTGAGGAATTTTCTCCATCAGTATGTTACAAGGTATTTCATTTTT